AGAGAAATGCTACACAGTAGACTCTTGCTTCGGTTAACAGACGGATAACGCTCCTACGCCAATACTGAATAAGAATAAAATGGTGATGAAACATAATAAACTTCTCACGCGTATTATGGATCAACATCACGATACAACACCATATCGTGAACGAATAATTTGCAAATCTTCAATCCATCATCAATCCATTGTCTGACATTTCACTATTCATGCGTTTCATACAAATTCCATTGTGTTCCCGCTCTTCCTTTCTTGATCTTCCCCCATCTTCTGCTGCCAGACATTACGTTGACACTCGCGTCATATACTACTTATAAGTAGCGCGCACCACAAGTAGAATAAGTTTTTTTTTTAAATTTCCATAATCATGTTTTAAAACTAAGAAATTTCCAACTCTTCCATTTAGTCTCTGCACTGGCAGACAATGATAAGTACGGAAATCACTGAGAAAATGACTTTCGAATGCATCAATATTTTGAAGTAATCATTGATTCTCACCATTTTACTGAAATAAACTTCAAAATATCCTGAAACAGTAAACTTAGTACTGGTTAACTAACTCTGAGATTGTTGATAATAATAATGGGTTACGCAAAGAAATTTATGTCGAAATACAAAACTAAGTCATTCAGTTATTGATAAGACCGTGGCTTTAACTTACCAACCTTGTAAGCAGCAATCTCAGCAATAGACTTTAAAAAAATATCTCACTATTCATTGTCTTATTACTAATGAAAGAGAAATATATCAAACGAACACAGACGAATTCTGATTTAAATAATATTTTATGGATCGAATTTTCATCGTCTATAACCAACTTTTTTGGATATTAAAAATAACGGAATGGAACTGAGATCTTTTTAATCAGAAATTGATCTATAAAGACAGTTAGCGTATTGGCATGAGGGCAAAGTAAGTGAGTGAATAAAACTCATCAAATGTTCTTATTTCACAAACAAAATGTGATCAAAAACATTTCCTTGAAGTTTCGTCATTGTTATCTTTAACTTATCACCTACATGTTTACAAATCGATGATCATACCTAGATTCATAACTTTAATCCGAAAAAAAGGGAAACATATCGTTAGGTTTAACATAAACATCAATCCCTTTGATAAACACAACCAACTGCTCCTTATTTGTTTAGATAATTGTGTAGTACTAAAGGGTTTTTGATACTCATATATTTCAAATGTTAACATTCAGTGAAAATTTAGTTAACGCACTTTTTTGTCGATTCTTCAACCTCCTATCTGTTTCTTTCCAAATTTATGTTTCAGTGCTTTATAAAATGGTAATATTCTTTAGAATTCCAAAGACCAGTTGCTTTAGGACACAAAAATAGTGTACTATACGTGAACGGTTATCGGAAAATATGACAACAGAATCAATATCATAAACTACTGTAAATCATTATATATACATGTTAACGAAAATCGAGCTAAAGTTAGGCTAAGTTTCTTTAACTTACTTTGTATTTTCAGTAAATGAACTATTGTCATTTACATCACTACAAGTTGATGTACCATCCTTCATACTACTTATACTTGTTGGTGTACAACGTGCTTCATTTGTCTGATGAAATGTTTTACGCTGTAAGTTGTCATTTGATCCTTCTTCTTCCTTTTCCTCCAACTTTTTTTCATGACTACCAATTCCAGAACATTCCACAATTGAAGAATTATCATTGGTCAATTGATTATCTTCAAATGTTTTTGACTCATCTGATAGAATAAAATTCGTACGAATATAGTTTTATCAAGTTATGTAGTTATATTTTGAGGAAAACTGTGGATAGAATTATTATACTATTTAATTACGATCTAAAAATAACTATGTATGTTTGTTTCAAGAAGAGCAGTTTTTTTAATTTGATTTATCATTACTAACACCTTACTATAGAAACAGATATTTTTTAACTTAAATGATCAAACTTTTCTAGAGGTTTATAATAAGAGTATATTTAATGGAAGCTTGTCACATCTCATAAATAAAAGTTGTTGGGGGTCTTCGAATTTCATATCATGGACTAACTTTATTGAGGAAACTATTCGCTGGCGAGGGAATCCTAAGCACTGAGGGACAACATATCCTTTGGAGATTGACCTTAGAACCCACAGATCTTTTCGAGCATCGAAAAATTAGGGCCATACCTAGAAGAAACGGCTGTTCAGGCTCTCTTGTTTCTAATGGTTATTCCATCAAAGTTAGTCTGTGGTGTGAACTACTATGTGACATTTTAGATAACAGATTACTTCTTCATCAAAATACTCCTCATACTTTTAAAAGGTTAGTTTTTTGGACACAACAGTTTGTAGTACTAAATAAACTCAGGGTTTCATTTAATTAAATAATTCAACATAACTCTCGTACGGAAACATTTCAGCAGATCCTCTCTTAGTGTAACTGTCTTCAAGAATGCAAAAACTTTTAGTTTATTATTCTTAAAACATTAGTTATAGGATTTCATACATGTACCTTGAGGATTACATCAGGTGACCATCAGTGTCTGCAAATTTTTGCTTCAGGATATGGCAACTGGGTATTTTAGGAAAGCACCGAAATGAACCGATAATTTGTGGAAAACAAGTCTCTACATAACTCAGTCGAGCAGTTTGGTTTTAACGTACTTTGCTGGACTACTTAACACATAACTAAGGGCTAAATGTTATCCTGAACAAACCATAAATTGGTTTGGCCTACAGCTAAAATCGTCAGTTTACAAATCTGAAACGTCATCAAGATAGCAAGTGAAATAACGCCAAATGGTTTTTGATGGATTATGAAACATCAAACGTGTGTCCAAATGAAAAAAGCTAGTTTTTATGTATATGTGTTCTCAATAGTTCGTTCAACCAGAATACATCGTGACTCTTTACTTGGACATTTATCTTGCACCTTATGTGCTTTTGGGCAAGAACAAACAATTTTCGGGACTTAAATGTTTACCTTGAGAGCTGAACTGTTCGCTTCCATCCCCAGAAATTGCTTGATTGATCGGTGAGTAATTTCTTGAGTTTTCCTTCTCACTATCCAAAAGTTGTTTGTCATCTACATGAACTAAGAATGTAACAATAAAACTCAAGTTATTTCATATACAAACCTTTAGTAACGCTTTTGTCATATCGATTGTTTTTCACCTCTTTTTTGCTGACGTTTCCACGATACTTCTCAACTGATTCCGGAAAAAGACCTGAATAGTCTTCATCTAGTATTTCCAGTGGAGAGAAAGGCATTTCTACTCAGATTATGATGTACCTTCAGCCTTTGTTAGGTTTACGTTTGGTGTGAAAATACTTGTGTGCTGAGGTTGTCTGAGAAGTAATATATACTGCTCACATATGTGAGGTTATCTAGAGAAGGAAAGAACAAAAGAAAATGTGAGTTGAAAGATCAGTAAGCCCATTAGATGCACCCAACTTTATTCAAGAAAGCAATCAACAACAGTCACCAATAACACAAGCATGAGATTAAGATAAAACTGACAATGAAAACTAGAATTTGGTAGCGCTGGATTTCAAATGCGTTACATTGATATGCCTTGAAAAGCGTGCAAGCGTTGTTATGACGACGCTGATCAAGGGGTTGTGGACTAATATCTAGTACATATCCAATATCTTTTTCATCACCAACTGATTTCTTTGAGCTCGATTCTTTTTCTTTCAGTACGGTTCCAGGTGTTTGGTAGTGTCCAATGAATGGGGACTAGTCACTTGGCGGTTAGTTGTGAGTTTGTATATCCCGTTATTCGAATGAGTACGTTTCTTTCAAGGCAGCAGGGTTTGCCGGCACCAGCAGATATCACGTGACCCGATTGAAGATCGGTTAGTTGTAATGTGGAGAATGCTAATAAGATTTCAGAACTAAGTAAATAAATGGATAATTTAGTTAATTAATTGGTAGTGAAGAGGACTGAAGTGTAGGCAAGTGAAAGGAACTTGAGATAAAAAGTGAGATAGATTGAGCTAGTGACCCGAGAAAATAGCAATATTAACAACTAACAAGTCTCAAGACTTGCATCAGGGACATCTGGCCCTCGAGGGAGATGATGTCAGTACATGTTTATCAGGTCTCTTTCTGAATGCATCCACTGAGGAGGCTTTTGTCACCTTGACTGAGAACGCATTCCACCTTCTAACGCGTTTCAGTGGTAAAAATTATCCATGAATCTAGGTCTCTGTTCACGGATACGCACTTTTTCGAGCTTCACCTTGAGATGAGTGGTGGTGATGCTTCGGTAAGATGCTCACGCCTGGATGCTCACGCGTGTCTATTAATTAGATCACCTCTGATTCTTCAGTAACTCAAAGAGAATAATTCCAACTGCTGTAGTCTATCTTCGTAAGCTTTATTCTCCAACCTTATCACCCAATTCGTTGCTCATCTCTGCACTCGATACAAGAGATTCATATCTTTTTGAAGGACAGGGGTGCGGCGACGTTGCAAATCCCAAAGTGTGGGCGTGCCTATGTTTAAAGAAACGTTAAGAATAATTTCGGGGTAATAGCACCAAGTCATCATCGCGTAAACTGAAAAGTCGTATTAGCCATAGTTATATCTCCTATCTTATTCAAACTGGTAACAAGGCTTTTACTGGTAAATATACCGAGATCGCTTGAAGGAGTTGGCTTCCAGTGATGATGTAGATCGTTCATTTCAAGTGGAGCAGAATGTTCATAAGGTGACATTTTCATGTGTTTAGTTTCAAACCTTTTTTCACTGCCTATTCCTCAATAAATGTCAGGTTCTTTTGAAGCTCATTTGAATCCTCTTCGCTTATTACAGATCTGTAGATCTTTGAATTGTCAACTTAGATAAAGCTAACTCAGTCTAACAGAACATTAACGAATATGAAGAAGATTGAACCTAATACGGTCCTCTGTGAAACTCTCGATGTTGAGACTGAAACCTTCGGAAGTAGGAGTGAGTGAGGTTCTGTGTCAAAGGCTTATACCATTCAAGAAATATTGTAGGTACCGGTGTTTCTCAGTCTCAGCGGGATACCTTACTATCACATGCTATGGGAAGATTGAGTGCATATGACCTGCCATTCCAAAACCCGTGTTCAGCTTCATGAAGGATTTAGTTCTTATCCATGTACTCCCTCATTTCCTCATTCACCAGCCCTTCCATTACCTTGGATAGTATTGGTAGTAGTGCGACTGGTCTGAAACAGGCTGGGTCCTTCCTATCTCCTCCTTTGAAGACTGGAGAAAGTAGCTCGTTTCCATTCAGATGGGAGTTGGTGTGACTCCACGGAATGCCTGAACGGGTTACATATCAGTGAACTAAGGGCTTTTGCACTCTCCCTGTATGCCAGTGGCTATTAGGTATGTAGAAAATACCTTCTCGTACGCATGTAATTTGCCCTAATATAAGTGAGGTAGGTTTACAATTCCGTACCACTGATCTAAATTTTACTTACTTATGGTGTCTAGTGGTTACTGCAATAATACTGAGCCTTACAACTGTGAAGTCGTACTATGCAGATGGTGTGTCATCCGCAGATGATACAAATAATGTAGCAATCATCTCCTATGTCTCGTAGATCGACTGTGTTTCATAAATGTATAATAATTTATTCTCTAATAAGAACATGTCGCAAGATGCGTGCCAATTTTCAGGCAAGGTCAAAGTGTTAAAACTGCCAACATATATTCTGTAAAAGGTTGTATAGTTAGTAAAATATTTCATGTGACAAATTCGATTCACATAGGTGGCTAAAATTCTCCACATAAAATTATAGATAATTTTCCAAACTCTGCAATGTATAATTCGACTAATTGGTGGAAGTTACCACGCTTGAGTTACGACGAACAGCTAATAGCTGCGAAACAATGCAAGGTAAAGCCAGGTCTGCATATAACAAGATTTGATGAGGTAAATGAGCAAAGATCTTGTCGACAATCGTCAGATTATAAATTTACAGGCTCCTGGGTAAAGCAAATATGTCTTCGGCAAATATCCATACTAATATTTAAGGATTGGAATTAAGTGCTGAAAAAGAGAAATAAAGAGAACAGAAAATGTTCTTGTCTCAGCAAATACTATTTTGAATTAAACAAAAGTATGATTACTCAGAATTTTTTGTATTAGAACACTACGTAATGGATAATTATTCGTATGAATAGGGGGAATTCATAAGAACCAAATTGTTAGCAATAATTTCAATTTGCAGGATATAAAAATCAGGCACAACGATCTGTTGCCTTTGTGAAATTTTATTTATTCTTTTTCTTTTTAACTCTATAGTCTAAGAAGTCATGCATGAGCTCCTTTTCAGTACAATTGTCTAGATCTACTTGTAGTAGTATTTCTCGGTAGGAAGTTAAAAACAGTGCAAGGTTACGAACATGAGTCGTAGACGAGGTTAACAAGGAAAAGTTACATCGATATCACTGATTAGTTACATCCAGCTATAGAGAAAAAGAGACGTAGGCAAACAAAAGGTTCTGCCCAACAGACATGGGTAGATTGAGGTTATCAACACACCAGCATGAACACTGGTCAGATACACCACCCTCCATCCTCTTGTGATGTCAGGCCCTCTTACGTTTAATTGTAGATTTTAAACTTTTTTTTTACTCTACGTTCTACTTTTTGTACACGTTGTCGGAATATACTTTCTCTACCAGCTCCACGTTACAAGCAAACCAGACAACATTGCCTGGTGTATGTTGGACAAAATATCCACGTAGCATACCACACCGCTTTTAGTAAACGAATGGCATAAATTGTAAGATATGTATCAGTTAATAGGTAGTTTGGCGATAGGAAGGATAGCGTGCTGGAGAAAAAAGTGTTGAAGTACTGCTAACAATTAATGAGCAAGGGGATAAATTGGTTAGCAGACAAGGTGTTTGGATGTTAATGAACTGGGGAAATAAAACTTTATCAAACAAGAAGGAACTCACAAGGATACAGGAAGTTTGAGCTTCTTGTAACTGACAGTAGTTGAGCAGCATCTACAGGCCTTTCAATTTATCTGTCTACTAGAAATAAAAACTAAAACTGCTGTGAAGATAAAAAAATAATGGTTGGAAGTTAAATTTTAAGAAAAGTCCAAATTTCACGAATAGCACCTCAAAGGCGTAAACTTTTACTTTTAGCGGGAGCAGGGGGACTCGTCTATAATTTTATGATTCCTGTATGGATGGTAATGCGGGTACAATATGTTCATGGTCTGGTATAAGTTTCTAAGGCTTGTCTAAATACTTGGTGGTTCATAAATACTAAATAGTTCATAAACCTCTTTAGATTATAACAACAGCATTACTGGTTTCTTGAACCTAGTAGTTGTGTAACAGATCGGGATAGAAATTAGTCATCTGTCCCACGATAGAGTGTGTCATGTTTCATAGAAATTATAACGCAATGATTTTTAGTGTTTTGCCGTTAGGAGTGTACAAGTCTGATTCTAAGTCTGTAAACAGGGTTATATTTTACTTTTGGGCAGGATTTTACAAACAAGGGGCTATATATTGTTTAATAGAGGAGTATTAGTATGTTTTTCAACCGACAAAGCCGTAGGAATTCGTAATATAAGAATCGACTCGAGTGCTAATGTACCTCATGCTTTTTCTACTCCGGGAGTATTTATTTACGAAACTACTGCAGAAGCTTGAAAATTATCATATAAACTGAGGGTAGGATTCAGTTTTTCCCATCTAATTGTCACCAACTTTAGCACCCTATTAGAATAGGTAAAATCAGCCTCACCGGTAAATACTTTGTAGGAGAAAATAAACATTCACTGTAGTCGAAACCGTGACGATAAAAATGGATCTGCCCAACTTCTGTCAATAGCACGTAATACTGATGTTCACAACACATGTTAGATGTGTTTCACTGGGGGACCTAACCATGTGTCTGAGTAATCTTATCATGCAGTCATGTTGCTGCTTTACGTGCCATAAAAAAGAAGATAACATCTAAGTTCACTGTTTATCTAGCCACATCAATCCAGATTAGCCTTTTTGTTTCTGCTCAACCAATTTATAAAATTTAAGTATTTGACTATCTATGTAATCCTGAACTTCGGTCACTGAGCAGAAAAATGTACATAGTTTTCCGGTAGAAATCAACATACTAATAATTAGTTTTTTTTTAAACAATGAATACGAATGAATGTATAGTGATAGATCAATGAATATGTTGGTATATGTGGTATGCTAGGATGAGCATGGGCATTTGTTTTATTCAGGTCAGTGCTGAATATTGTGGCATCTACCAATGCTTCTTAAATAGTAGACCCAATCTCTTTGCCTTGCCTGTAAGATCTTACGTCGAAATCACCTTACGGAATTCATTGACTGGTCATAAAATGACAGTGATTACCATTGTTTATAAGAACTACTAAAGAATAGGATAATAAAAGGTTAAGTACAAAATAAACAAGTTTACAGAGTACCGACGCCTAATTGGCATGAGTTCCCGAACTGAACTTTATTTTCCATGTCCAGGCTCTCAAAGATGTATGTGTTAAGCCTCAGAAGTCCTGTCATTAAGAGCCAACGTCACCACACATTCATTTCTACACAACGCTTGATGGTCCATGTTCATAATTTGCACTCATGCCGAGATCTGCACAGGGACGAAGAATACAAATAAGAAACTAAAAATTAGTTCACGAGTATGTGTTTACTGAATTGGCTAACCTCTTGATGCTAGTGAAAGAGGCTGGTCTAAAAGAGTCTTGGCAACACACTCCATTGTTATTAAAGGAGTCAAATAGCACCATTAGGTGTCGCCTTCAAACGAGAAGTAAACAAAGATGAAAAAACTCGTTCCTGCTTATTTATTAAGTTCTGAAATACATATCGAATTCCTTGTGTCATTTTTGCGTAAATATATACTTCGTTTAACATAATTATATGGTACTGATATCCAATTCCCCACCTAACTTTTGTGGAGCATTTTCCTCTTCATGACCAGGGTATAAAAGCAGTTCCCCTGAAGCTAGTCCCAGTTGTCCTGCATTAAACCGGTTTCCCTGATTCCGAGGACCGCGAGGTTGTATCTTTCCATTTCCGCAGCAACTTAAAATAGTCTTCCGGTCTCCAACAATGTTGGAATGTTCCACGTACCTAAAAGAATGGTTACTCTGGTTTTCAGAAAGGGCATCGGTCTCATGACTCTCAACGGAAATCGGCTTTCATCATGAGGCGTCATAATTTTTGTGAAAGAAGACCTAACTCACAAGGCAGAGGTAAAATGGTCCTTATTATGTTTTCTGGTTAGAGCCTTTTTAGAGAGTTGTTTTTTGTGGGATGAGATTTATCAACCTCATGTCCAACCCTCCTCCTTTATCGGGGTTTGGGACCGTCAGTAACCCCAGATGGGCTCCAGGAGAAGTTGGAGCCAGCCCAATGAAACTATAATTATTCGAAAAACATATGTATTGAACTAATTCATCTGCCACGGTCTAGGACAGATTTGTCAGCTCTTGAGTCCGTTATACTCAATGCGCCAAGTAATAATTACTACATATCCTACAGTGTTAAGATTATCAGTAAAGCGATACAACCTCCCATATATTTTCCAAGTGATTCATGCAATCTGTTAGTTTGAACCAAGCCTATTAATATATACACTTCGATAACTTCTTTTCCCTGTTGGTGACTCGCCTTAGTAGTTCCTAATGCATCAGAAACGTGAAATCTATCATATTCACTGTCAACTATTCTAACAATACATGAATTCATAACTACTATGGTGCAAGACATATTTTGATATTTTTACTTTCTCTATCTTTGAAAGTCGTGAGAAGTAGTAATTTGAATAAATATTGATCACTATTCCTTGTTCTGTAGGGTTTTTTAAAGTCACCAAATTCCTTAGTTCGTATTTGCGGGGAGGTCAAATTTAAGGTCAATTATGAGGCAGCGGTAATACGATGTACAATGAGGAATCGCTTGAGTCCAAATTTACCGACAAAATATTCGGCTGCTTATTCGTTTCAGTTAGTCTAATACTAGTGAGTTTTTGCCTAAAGTTTATTAAACTCTCAACAGATTGGACTCTGGGTTTATGTGATAGTATTGTCAGATTTAGAAATACTTTTCACTAATTATGACTGTAATGGAAACGTTTGTGGCAGTGAAAAGAATCTTAAACCGCTTTCATTTATGAAGTTTAACGTTTCCAACCAGAAGTAAGTGACGGAATAAAGTTTATTTATAGATATTTGCACCATACTGATTTTGAAAATAAGGTTTTATCTGTACCTGTTTGTGTCCAAAGATGTCCAGATCGCTTCATAAATTCTTCCAAACAGCTTTCAAAATTTATGAACTCAACCGGAATATTTCTGTGTGACCCTAGGATTCCTCCACTGCTATCTGAGTAAGTTCAGCACCATTCATTCACTGATTCAATAATAATTCTTTTGGTACAAGACATAAATTAAGTTCCTTTTACATCACTGGCAAGCAGTTTTCAAAAATATGTGACGTATTTAACCTACGTAATGAGTGGTACATACATATTAAGTTTGTTATCAGTTGTCCAAAACAGAAACATTTTCATACCATAATGTGCTAAGTGAATCCGATATATTGCCTAAAGTGCATCTTAAAATTGAAAATTCATCTTAAAACCCATAGTGCCATTGCTCTAAAGATTGTTATGGGGCATCCACTAAACTGCACATAAGAAACGGTATGGTTGAATTTTATTATAGTATTACATAACTGTTTTTCTTGGAAAAAATATTTTGGTTTAAGGAATGCGGTTTTTCTACTAATAGGATCAAAGTTCATACCTGATACCTTTCGTTACTGCTAAACAGTTCGTCAGTAATATCCGTCTTCAGTTTTTTGTGGTAATAAGGCAAATTTGTGAGCCCTATTTTTAAAGAAATAGATACTTAAAGATCTGAGCA